CGGCTCGCTGCAAGCTCCGCCTCCCGGGTTCAAGCGATTCTCCTGCCTCAGTCTCCCGAGTAGCTGGGACTACAGGCGCCCGCCACCGCGCCCGGCTAATTTTTTTTGTATTTTCAGTAGAGACGGGGTTTCACTGTGTTAGCCAGGATAGTCTCGATCTCCTGACCTCGTGATCCGCCCGCCTCAGCCTCCTAAAGTGCTGGGATTACAGGCGTGAGCCACCACGCCTATGGCTTAATTCAAATTTAAAATTCAGTTCCTCAGCTGCCCCGCAGGTGCAGATGCTACATGTGGCTGCTGGTCACCACCGCCTTGGCAGGAGCACCTCCCTCGGTGCAGAAGCTCTAGGTGCCAGTGGTCATGGAGAGGCTCTGCTGCCCCAATGGGGCGGGGCGGGAGGCATCATTTTGTGGCAAGTGCTTTGGCAGTGTGCCTGAGGAAGATCACCATGGCCAGGCGACCAACCCAGACAGGGACTGAGCCAAGATGAATCAGCCTGGTGAGCCAATACTTGTCACAAAGCCTGAGCCACCCAACTCCAGGTCACCCGGAAAAGCCAAGGCAATGAAGACAGTAACAGGGGCTGGGAAGCAGGACACAGAGAAATGAGACTTGAGAAGACCATCACCACGCGAGAGTTAGGTATTCTTTCAAAAATTAGTAAATGAAAGAAGAAAATATAACTGTGAGACTCACCCATACTGGGCCTACCTTGCTGATGACAGAATGTCGCCTTGCTTTATAGGCATGACAGAGCCAAAACTGCAAGGCATGCAGTCCAGGCATGCACAAGGGAACAAGCTTTGACCTCTAACAATACCCAGAACCAATGACTCCTCCCCTCAGAACCAAGACGACCAGGACAGGACTGGAACCTGAACATGGAAATCTTTCAGAAGCAAGGATCCGTTGGCCCGGGAGACTGGGGCTCAAATCTGCCTTGACAATCCTTTCCATAATGGTTAAATTTGAAGCCCCACAATCAGACCCTGCCAAGCCAACACCGCCAAATCATTTCCCTTGCCCTCTGGTCCCTTAAAGCTTGCCCCAGACCTCAAACTGGGGAGACAGATTTGAGCCCCACTCCTGCCTTCTTGCTGGTCAGTTTTGCAATAAAGCCTTTCTTTTCTCAAAAGCTGCTGCCAGTGTTACTGGCTTCACTGTGCATTAAGCGGTGAGCCCATTTGCTTGATAACAAAACTTCTCAAAGCATTGGCAATGTCACCAGTCAGTGACAGGGCTGTGTGGGCCCTGAGGAGTGACCCGGAGGAAGGGGATGCTTGGGAGAGGGAGAGGAAGGAGCAGTAGACAGGGGTCCACCCAGCAGACAGCCCAGGCTCAGCAAAGCCACAGAAGAAGGGAGTCTCCAAACTGCTAGGTCCAGAGGGACGCCACAGAGCATCGGGGAGAGCCACAGGGGCCTAAGGCAGGGCCTAGAAGGCTGGGTGGCAGGCGGGGAATTAGAATTTAATCTGTAGGAGATAAGGAGCCACTGAAGAATATTAGGTAAAGAGGACAGGACTAGATAGCAGTTTTGAAAAGGGGCACTGGTAGACCTGGTGCTGTGGCCTGTAACATCCTAGCACTTTGGGAGGCTGAGGTGGGTGGATCACTTGAGCTCTGAAGTTCGAGACCACCTGGGCCACCTGTGGAAACCCCGTCTTCACAAATAATGGTGGCATGCGCCTGTAGTGCCAGCTACTCTGGAGGCTGAGGTGGGAGCATCGCTTGAACCCGGGAGGCAGAGGTTGCACTGAGCCAAGATCGCACCATTGCATTCCAGCCTGGGCGACAGAGCAAGATCCTGTCTCAAAAACAAGTGGGTGGTTGGCGCTGGCTGAGCCAGCACACTGAAGAAAGGAGAACGTAGTTCAGGTTGAGGCCCGGCAGGGTACAAGTAAACCCAGCTGAACAGAGAGGGCCATGGCAGACAGGGAAGGGAGGGAGACGCCACTCTGGAAAGCCCTTAAAAGAAGCGTGGATAACACTTGCTGGGCTCCGGGAGAAAATAACAGTTTACTGCAGGCGGGAGAAGATTTGGTGTGAAGGGTACTGCTTCCTTAGGTCGAGGTGAAAGACCTTGGCAGCAGAAAAGGCTGGCTCTGGCCCCTTCCCCTGGGGACGGTGGGAGCTGGGACCTGCCTGACCTTATGCAAAAGTGCGACAATAGTGGGAGGGAGGACGCGGGCATCCGAGGAGCCCCTGCCCGGGATTTGCAGATGCGGCGGCTGCAAGAGCTGAGGCCAGGCCCTGCCTGGTGCTGACGCAGTGAAATCTAAAGCTCCTGAAAAGCCAGGCTTCCCCCCGCGGGGACAAGGCCATCCAGCACCACAAAGAGGAACACAGAATGGGGTTTCAGAACAAGAAAAAAAAAAATCCTTTCGGGGCCCTGCTGCATGTGTGTGAGTCTGGCTCCTCTGCATCTCCATCCACATCAACGTTCACTGTGAATGCAGCCCAGAAGGAAGGACAGGCTCAAAATGAAGGATGGGGAGGGAGGGAGGACTCGGAAAGGCATTTGCCTGTTCTTACACCACCCAGGAAATGAGTGTGCCACCGTCCGCTATGCTTGTGAGTGAAAAGGGTGGAGGGTGACGGGAGCTGCTGCTTCCGGGAGGTCGGGGAAGCACATTCTGAAAGTGACATTGAAGTAGAGACCTGAAGAAATGAGGGAGGGCGCTGTGAAGATATTTGGGGTGGGAGGAATGCTCTAGGGGAACATGTTTGACAGATCCAGAAACAACCCAAAGGCCACCCGATGCAGACCAGGATGGAGGCGGGAGAAAGCAGGGGAGTAGAGGCAGACAGGTCCCGGGCCATCCCACAGGGCAGCGTGGGCGAGGTGAGGAAGTCGCTTCTGTGAGTGTGAGGTGAGCAATGGGGGAGTGACATCATCTGACTCAATGGACAAAGGTCCCTCAGGCCGATGTGTGAACCGTGAAGAAAGCAAGGACCAAAACAGGGACACTGTGGTGGGGTGCAGGCAGGCGCCCAGATGTGGGGTTAGTGGTGGAGGGGAGAATGGGCTGGTACTGGATCTGTTTCCAAGGTAGAGTGGCGGGACTTGCTGATGGGGTGCGATTATTGAGGTGCGGAGGAGGGGGTAGCTACAGGTTTTGGGGGATGAGGAGGGGAAGTCAGGAGTGAAGTGTCTGGTTCTGCACACCACCTCCAGGGTGTCTATCAGATGCCCGGTGGAGAAGTGGGGGAGGATCTGTACGCAGAGGGTTTTAACAACACGGGCTGGGCCAGAGGGTGCCGAGAGAGAAGAGAGGAGATCCCCCAGGAGCAGCAACGCTGAGGGCTCAGGAGGAGCAGCCAAGAGAGGAGCCCACGGTGTCAGCCTGGGGCTGAAGGCTGAAATTCACTGCACTAGCCAACAGCGTCTGGCGATTTTGTGATGAACGATTTTGCTGGCACAGTGGACTGAAGGCCTGGTAGAAGGGCTTCAAGGGAGACGGGGAAGCAAGAGATGGTTGTTAGGATGAGTTTTGCTGCAGTGCTGGAGGAAGGTGGGTTTTGTTAATGACCTTCCCTCCCTGCAACCAAACCACAGCAGAAAACCCATCCAGGGCTCACACAGAAGGACCCCCAGCAAAAGCCTCTTCCTGCAACGGGAAGCCCACAAGGTTAGAAACCAGAAATCACAACCTAACACTACCCTATTGTCAGTTTTGTAGGTGACCTTGGGTAGGTTACTTAACTTCTTGGTATTTCTCAGCTTCCCTCACCTATAAAATGGGCAGCACAGTCCTGCCTTTTCTATATGGTAGCTGCATAAATGATTAGGTAACATCACTGATGGGCATTTACGTCCCCAGTCCACTTTCTAGCTCTGCGTATTTGAATACTCTAAATACCTCACAGAAGTGGAACCATGCAGTGTTGGTCCTTTTTGTGACTGCCTTATTTCACTCAGCATAATGTCCTCAAGGTTCATCCATGTGGTAGCATGCGTCAGAATCTCCTTCCTTTTCAAGGCTGCGTAACAGTCCACTGTATGCATATCTCACATTTTATTTATTTATCTGCTGGTGGACACTTCGGTTGCTCCCATCTCTTGACTAACATGAATAATTCTGCTGTGAAGAGTTACACAAACTCTGAGACCCTGCTTTCAATTCTTTGGGGTATATATCCAGAGTGGAATTGCTGGATCAGACTGTAATTATGTACACACACACACATATGTATACAAATATGTGTATATGTTTGTGTCTATGTATCTCTGTGTGTGTGTACATATATACATATATATATACTTATATATTTATATATATTTTTTTCTAGGAACTTCCATACTGTTTTCCACAGCGGCTGTAGCATCTTACATTCCCACCAACAGTGCACAAGGTTTCTAGTCTCTCCACATCCTTGACAGACTGGTAACTTTCTGGTGTGTTTTTTTGGTCTTTGTTTTTTGTTTCGAGCCTAGCCATCCTAATGGTTTAGCCCATGCTAAGTGATCAGGACGGTCCCTATTATTATCAAGTGAGGTAACAAATCAGAATGTATTTTGAAAAAGAATTACATCTGTCAGGATCCAACCAAGAAAACAGAAAGCATTAAAAGGAACTTAGTGGGGGAGATTAGTCACACAGGGGATGGAAAGGCTGAGAAGTCAAACAGCAGGAAGCCATTCACTTTACATCCACCTAGGGCAGAGGACAAAGGACGCAGGGCCACCCAGGGGAAGCCAAGGTGGTGAGGGGAGCTGTGGAGGCAGCTGGAAGAATCTGGAGGAATCTGACCTGTGAGAGGAACCACAGGCAGACATCCTCTAGGAGGCTCTGAGAAAGAGCAGGGCACGTGGGTGCGGCCTCGGAATAAATCAGGATTGTTAGCTTGTCCGAGTGATCTGACGATGAGTCAGGACACCTGGGCGTGGCGGTGTCCAGAGCACGAGAGTGACACCAAACACACAGGACAGCAGCACCGAGTCTTGGACAAGGGGCGCGAAGGACTCAAGCATGTTGCCAGGCCTGTGGCTGAAACTGAGAACAGAATAGAGAAGCAGGTGGAGCTTACTGGGTGTCAACCCTTCCTTTATCAACCCCATGGTAAGTGATTAGGATGGTCACTATTACTACAAGTGACGTAACTAATCAGGACGCAACTTTCCCCCCCAAACAAACCACCTGAGTCACACAGATCTCAACTTTTTTTAAAAATCAAATTTTTATGTTGAGATCACTGTTAAGTTTGTGTTCAGTTGTAAGAAACAGATCCCGTGTACCTTTTACCCATTCCTCCATGTTGCAAAACTAGCACAATATCACCGCCACGGTAGACGCAGACAGTGAGGCCACAGGACATTTCTATCAGCAAAAGGGTCCCTCTTGTGCCCCTTTAGAACCACGCCCACCCTTGCCTTCCAACTATTAATGCTGGCAGGACTTAGCCAGGCCGTAAGGGCGCGTACTCAGAACAAGGAAGAGGGTCAGGCGCTGGGAGGGCGACTGCAGGCGGACAAACTGCACCTGCGCCCGCGGTACTTGAGGACACCACAAAAGTCCGCGGAGGAGGCACCTCGGCACTTCCGCGAGCGCCGCAGGCCCTGCCCCTTTCGCCGCGGCCGACCAATTGCGGCCCGAAGGCCGAGCCGCTTCCGTCCGCGGCCGGAGAGGGCCGGATGTGAACGGTGTTTTTCCTTCCTGCCGCCACCTTGTCCAAGATGGCGGACCTCCACCGCCAGTTGCAGGAGTACCTGGCGCAGGGGAAAGGGGGCGGCTCGGCGGCCGCGGAGCCGCTGCTCGCCGCGGGGAAGGCGGAGGAGCCCGGGGACGGGCCGGCGGGGGCGTGGCTGGGCCGCGCGGGCCTACCCTGGACCTGGGCGCGGAGCCCTGGGGAGTCGGCGGCGGCGGGCCCGGCGTGCCTGCCCAGCGTGACGCGCGGGCAGCGGCTGGCGGCGGGCGGCGGGTGCCTGCTGCTGGCGGCACTCTGTTTCGGCCTGGCCGCGCTCTACGCGCCGGTGCTGCTGCTGCGCGCGCGCAAGTTCGCGCTGCTCTGGTCGCTGGGCTCGGCGCTGGCGCTGGCGGGAGGCGCGCTGCTGCGGGGCGGCGCGGCGTGCGGGCGGCTGCTGCGCTGCGAAGAAGCGCCGTCCCGGCCCGCGCTGCTGTACACGGCAGCGCTGGGCGCCACGCTGTTCGCCGCGCTGGGCCTGCGCAGCACGCTGCTCACGGTGCTGGGCGCGGGCGCGCAGGTAGCCGCGCTGCTGGCCGCGCTGGTCGGGCTGCTGCCCTGGGGCGGCGGCACCGCGCTGCGCCTCGCGCTGGGTCGCCTGGGCCGCGGCGCCGGCCTCACCAAGGTGCTGCCCGTGTGAGGACCTCGACCCCGCGCCACTGGGGAAGGACGCGCAGCCAGCGCCGTCGGAGACTGCCCCTGCCGAGCCGAGGACTGCACGCCGGTGCCGGGACGCCTGCGGCGAAGACCCTGCCGCGACCGCCTGTGAGTCTAAGCCGGGAGCGGCTGCTGCCAGGGGAGGCGACCGCAGCGTTGGGAGGTCGTCGATGTCAGCGTTTTGTGCTGGACTTGGCACATGCTCTGAAAACAGATTTTGTCATTGAACTGGTGACAGGATGTGAGACGGTTATAAGTTGCTGTCGAAGTAACTGTGATCTTAGGTTCCGCTGAGTAAAGAAAAAGGACTTTTCTTCGAATTAGCTGCTCTCGTGATTTTTCTCAGGCTGTTTTGTCATTTTAAAATCCAGCGCTAGATGTAGCTTAGCGACGGTAATTTTTTGTTTTGGCTGTGCTAAAACTTGGAAAGTATTCTCTTCGGTGCCGGCGAATCCAGAAGGGTATCAGATTATTAAACACCGAATTCAGCCACTGAGTAAGTACTTTTAAAAGTACTTATTTAAGAGGTAATCTCGGGTTTTTTTTCAGTTAACAAAATCATACATATGGTGCCTTATAACATGAAAGGAAAATTAGTTCTGTATTTCACGACGAAAGCGATGGACCAAAAGAAATTTCCTGCCCCAAGCAGCATGGGATCCAGGCAGGGGCGCGTACAAGCTTAGCGGGCTCTGCGGAAATCCTGCAAATAGGAAGATAATTCTAGATCCGGAACACCTGTATCTGATGGAGACCATGGATTTCTACAAGCTCGAATTATTCCTCATTGTATGGTCTGCTTTGTAAACTAGTTTACAATTTGCAGGCTGATCTTAAGATGCTTTTTATATCTAATTGCTGCTTCCTTCATTTTAGGTTCAGCGGTTACTTTCACCTACCGTAATTTATTGCCAGAAAAGTATGAGCCTAACATTCTGATGAGTCCAGAAGACTGCGTTTTGTCAGTAGCAACACACTAGGAAGTAAAATATATTTAGAATTTAAACATTGTGTGCCAGTGGTTCTCGCGCTTGACTACGCGTCAGTTACTTGAAGAGCCACACCTCTGATCAACGCAGTCTGAACCAGGGAAGTAGGTCCTAGACATCAGAACCTTTTTAAAGCTCCCCAGGTGATTCTACGTTCCCCGAGGTTGAAGACCACTTCTGTGCATTGGCTTGCACAATTTGAAAATAATGCTTTTCCTGAGCTGGATCCCAGTGTTGCCTAACAGGGTGTCTGCCGGGCTGCGGTAGAGCACTGCTGCTTCCTCCAGCCCCAAAATGTATGTTCCTAAGTTAGGTCCCTAAGCACTGTCCCAGCAAGTGATGCAAGTGGCCAACACCCACACTGTAGGCTTGCAGGCTACCCGCCCTGAGATTTGGTGAAGAATACTGCCTTGTTCCCCGTCAGTAAACAAGGTTACCTACCTCAGGCGGCTGCTAGTGAGGGAGCAAATGCAGTATTTTCAGAATGATTTATTTTTTTAATTGTAAAGACTTGTGCCATTGGCTGTTCTTTCTAGTCACCTAAATTTCTGTTCTCAATTTCTCTAGAACTTGCAATAGTTGGGGGTTTTATAATGTTTTACAATGTTTATTTCTTAAATAAAAACTTTAAAATTCAACATTTCTCAGCTGGTGGCTCACACCTGTAATCTCAGCATTTTGGGAGGCCATGGCGGGAGGATCGCTTGAGGCCAGGAGTTCAAGACCAGCCTGGGCAACATAGTTAAACCCCATCTCCACAAAAAATCTCTTAAAAATTCGCCAGATGTGGTGGCACACAACTGTGATCCCAGCTACTCGGGGTGGGGCTGAAGTGGGAAGATCACTTAAGCCCAGGAGGTCGAGGCTGCAGTGAGCTGTGATCGCACCACTGCACCCAAGCCTGGGCCACAGCGAGACCCTGTCTCAAACATTTTCTCTCAGTTCAAACATTGAAAATCTAGTTTTTATAAGCTTCAAATCACAACATCTAGTATGTATTCTGACAGTGATGTTTTTAAATGCCATTATGTATTTAATAGATATAATGTAGGCTTATTGTTTTCTCTAAATGAAATCACTCTCAAAATGTGATCTGTCAAGTCCAGTAGAGCTTAAAGGTAAAATGAAAATGTTTAAAATGTGATCTGGTTATCTGCTTGAGATACTATGTTTTTAAAGTTACAGCCCAAAATAATGAAATTTTTTCCACTGGAATCTCAGGGAAAAAAAGGCTAATCTTGATAATGGGTTTGGTCTCTGGATCCGGTTTTAGCTTCATGAAATTTGATTACAGTTTCTCTGTCTTTAAGCTATACCAGTTGGGGGGGAGTGAAGAAATATCCCTAACCTAAAGCAATCTTGAGCCTTATAATAGCATGTTTATGGTGGGGTGCTGATTAAGCTGTAATTTCAAAGTTAAAAAAAATAGTCTCTAGATTCTAACACTTTCTGAAAAGCAGTGTATATGGCTGACATTTTCTCCACATAAATCAGTTAGCTTTTGCTATTTGTTACATTCATGGAGAACCAGCTAGGGTTTCATATACTGTTAAACTATGTCAGTATGCCTTTTCTAAGCAACCACTGAAACTTCCAGCAGCAGCAGCCAGGTCCTGCGGCTCACATCTGCAATCCCAGCACTTTGGGAGGCCACAGGAGGTGGACCGCTTGAGCCCGGGAGTTTGAGAGCAGCATAGGCGACGTGGTGAAACTCCATCTCTACCAAAAATACAAAAAAAAAATGAGCTGGGCATGGTGGCGTGTGCCTGTAGTCCCGGCTACTAGGGAGGCTGAGGCAGAGTCGAAGCTGAAGTGAGCCGTGATTGCTCCACTGCACTCCCGGCTGGGTGACAGGGAGACTCTGTCTCAAAAAAAGAAGAAAAAATGAAACTTCCATCACCACTAAATCTGCCAAATAAATTTGACTTGACGCCAAACTGAAGCTGCCAATGTAATGAAATGTTAAGGTGGCCATAGGACAGTCCTTTTAATAAAAGCTTCCATGTAAAACCAAAATAAAGGTCAGTATAGAAAGTATCATGGGGTATAACAAACTGAATTTTTGGCTTCCAATCCAAACTGGGCTAAATGGTATGTTTATTTCAAACAAGGAATTTGCCATGGACAAGATCTGTCTGGCTTGTTATGAATTAGAAGTACACCCTGCCATAACACTGGTATTTCCACATAGCTAGTATGGAAGAGAAAGAGATTAATTAATTAAGTGTTCCAAAATGGTTTTAGGAGCTATTTTGGTCCATTCCTTATCAACTCCATGTGTGATTTCAAGTTATCTAAAGGGCATGTGACGTTATTTCTGACTAACATCAAGTTGCTCTCCTCATCCTGACAAGGCGATTCACATCTCAACTGTGATTCCTAGGAGGTGCTTCCAAGGGGGAGCTCCTCGCCGGACAGCCGGAAGGCTGCATTTTCTCTTCCGAGTTCAGTTTTCATCTGTCAGAGCATGTCTGAGTATAACTCTGAACCTACTACAAACTACATTCATCTTCAAGTATTTCTCTATCACAAAAATGGTGACAGAATTTGTTGAGAAACACAAAGTTCACAGCTGAGATTAATTTAGATGACTTAGTGGTTACTATGCTCATGAACATCAGCGATAACCGTGCACTCCTCAGTAGATGGGATGCGATGGAAACCAAAGGTTTCCTTAAGGCAAGCACTCCACAACTAGTTTTCTGTTAATTCTTGCGTAAATCACATTCTGTATTCATACAAAAACTTTTATGTTTTTCTCTGACAAACTGTACACATAGAAACAAATTTCCAAATGGACAGGAACTTAAATTTGTGGAGATGCCCCATGTCTTGTGAGACTTAACAAAAAAAAAAAAAGATCCCAGCTTTTATCTTCACAAAACAACATGGGAGTTGGGGCAATGAGGGTGGACAGGACAGGACAGGGCCAGCTGGGCTGGTAGCTGGCAGCAGTCTCTTCATCTTGAAGACCTCATTGAGGGTTCCTGGGATTCAGGTGCCCAGAAGAGTTCAGGGCTACAACGGTGCAGGCTTCCTTTTGTTTCTCTTGGTAAGTCCACAAGAAGTTCTTAAATACTGTCCAGAGAGGCCTCAGGGTACTCAGTTCCAACTTCTACCGACCCCTTCCACCACCCCGTGAAGTTCCTCGCCTCGGCGGGCCAGAGTTCATGTTACTCCCTCTACCCCAGTTACTGCCACTCCGGCCCCCTCGAGAAGGGGTGCCACTGCCCGGAGGGCCCCCAAAAGGTTCATCTCTGTGGTATCCATCGTGGTGTTCTCCGTCTAAAGAGCTGGAACGCCCAGATTTGGGCACTCTCTGGGCAGGTCCTGGGCCCCCGCGGCCTGAAACAAAGAAAATTTCACATGGGACTTTTTGTATTAGCAACTCTGTCAGTAACTCCCAGTACAAACTTTACTCTCTGATGACAGTGGACCAGTTCTGGTGGGTGCCAGGGAGACTGGCAGTGGTATTCAGAGTACTGAGAGGTGTGCCTCTACCCTTTCCTGACCCTGCCCTCCCCCTTCCTGGCTTATTGCCATGGGCCTCAGCATCAGCCAGATCCGTGTCCCCAGGGCTGTGACAGACGATGGGAAGCCAAGAGATGAGCACAGAGCACCTTCAGGGAGATCCGGCCACACTGGGCCATGTCCCAGGCCATGGGAAGTGTACCTACATGCTCCCAGCCACCAGGGTATGTTGAGGGAAGGTTTGAATACACTGACTTGACTTTGGAAGTACACGCTGCTAATGTTAATAAAAAGTGCTCCAACTAGGATGAGTGTTCACTGGAACTGTCCTGTGACATGTGGCACTTTTGGCTTCCTTTTCATAATTAGTAAAATATTTCTTGAAAAAACAAAAGAAAAGCACAAAAACCCCACAAAACACTGGCTTTCAGGTTATATCACCTAGGCACAGCTTAACTTGCTTCAGACTTGAACACACAAATGTTTAGGTACTATTAAAATTCTTTCATTCTGCTGGAGCTTGAGAATATATTTAAAAAAAAAAAAAAAGGAAAAAAAAATCTACCTTGTAAGAATTTTTTCCTCAGGAAATGATAGGATTTGGTCACATCTCCCATAATGCCCTCTCAGAAGACTACTGCAAACTATCCGCGGTCTTATATTTTGTAATAGAATATGAATCTAGCTGAGATGAGGTTAGGAGAACCAGCCAAAGGAACAATCTTGGCTTCTTTTCTTACAAAGAGCAGCTTCAACCCACCTGAGGGCACCTGGGCAGTGTGTCAGCTCCTACGTCATTCCCATGCTAATTGCACGTCCTTGACCAGAGGGACCTAATAATGGTGCGCCAAGGACCCAAGACAGCCGAGGTCACAGCACGCTGGCTAGTAGTACGGTGTGTTTATGCAGGGAGATCTATTGATGATACATAAGGTAATTTCTGAGGGTTTTGTTGAGACAAACAACTATCAAGACCAAATGGCAGGCCGGGCATGGTGGCTCACGCCTGCAATGCCAGCACTTTGAGAGGCCAAGGCAGGTGGATCACTTGAGGCCAGGGGTTCGAGACCAACGTGGCAAAAGCCCATCTCTCTAAAAACACGAAAATTAGCTGGGCGTGGTGGTGCACACCTGTAGTCCTAGCTACCGGGGAGATTGAGGCACAAAAATTGCTTGAACCCAGAAGGCGGGGGTTGCTTCTAGTGAGCCAAGATCACACCACTACACTCCAGCCTGGGCGACAGAAAAAAACCCAAAAAGACCAAATGGCAGAACTCTGTACTGGAAGGACTGTCCACACAGACAGGCCAACTTCGGGAGCAGAGCACAAGCTGGGGCACGCGGGGAGCAGCCTTCCCAGGAGCCTCCGAGCCACAGCACCTGTGCACCTCCCCCGCTGCCTTGCAACCAGAGTTGTAGTCAGCCTTCGGAGGCGAATACTCCTGGCTCAAGTTAGTGCTGCCTATAAAATAAAGCTCCAGAGTTTCCAGTTGAGGAGAGAATCTCCTGTGCCCCCGGAAACACTGCCCATAGACCATGTTTTCCAAAGTCTTTGTGACTCTGAGCACAAGCAGTGTTCCACTAGATCCAGGCTAAAAAACCAACAGAGCACCCAGGAGAGGACAACTCTTCCCTCCCACTGAGCCCCTGAGGGTTCCGAGCAGCCTTCGTGGCGGGCAGACTGCCAGTGAGAGCAGGGCTCCCAGAGAGCAAGCCCAGCAGAGAGGACTGGGGCATCTTGGCAGAGGGCTGAAGTGAAAACCTCAAGCGAACGGGGGTTCCTGGAGGCGAGTGGAGTCCTGTGCGGGGCCAAGTTGCAGTCCACCAGACGACAGCTTGTGTGGCGCTGGCACCACGTTTAGGAGCATGTGCCTCTGCACAGCACAGGCTGCAAGGGCATGTGCAGCAGATGCAGGCAAGGCCTCCACCAGCCCCTGCAGCTCCTGGAACCATAACCACTGGCCTGCTCTTACCTTTGCCTCCTCGGTCTTCAGAAGGGCCTCCTGAGGCCTCCATCTCTCTGTGCTCAGAAGTGCCTGGGCCATCATGCCAGGGGCGCTTTCGGGGAGGTAGGGATGCCATGTCCATGCCTTGGAGAGAAGAGGAGCGTTCTCTGCTGGCTGGGGAATGACCGTCATGAGGGGGATGATCAGGTCGGGGAGCATCACGAAAATGTTCATGACCCGGCCCTGAAACAAGAAACAAATCTCCTTACAGGAAAGCACAGTGCGACCAAAAGCAGATGGGAATGACACTGTTGAGAGGAGGGAGCAACTCAGAAGCCAGCGTTCACTCCTGCTGAATGCCCACCACAGGCCAGGGGGTAAGCCGCCTAGACTAAGATCCAGAGAACTGGTTCTCACGTGGTGTAGCATCAAGACGCCTTTACAGTCTCAAATGACTGAGGACTCCTAAGAGATTTTGTTAATGAGAGTTACAACTACGAATGTTTCACATACTAGCAATTGAGACTGAGAAAATTTTACTTAACTTTATTCTCCAAAAACAATTTAGTGGAAAGAGCAGTCCTGTTTTATACTCAGATAGATCCCTGTAATGTCTGGCGGATTCCTCTGCTCTCATTCCACCTGCTGAGATCAAGATCTGTGGCTGCTGGACAGGAGACAGCCCAGGCCCCGGGAGACACGAGCTGGAAAGAGGGGACCCGGTGCACCCAAGAGAGGGCCCTCAGAACTCACTTTGTGAACTGCTATCTAGAGTTACCCAACAAGCGGTTCTTTTCCTTACCAGGCTCTCTGTTTCCATCCCAGGAATCTGGCTTCCGCCCTCCTTCAAAGCGAGGGAACTCGTCAGGAGTGGGAAGTAAACCCTTCCTTCCTCCTACACAACAGAGCAAACAGTGCTGCACTCAGACTGTTCCCGGTATATTCACAACCACTGTATTCTGCACCCTATCCTTCCAGACCAGGTGTCCTTAGTAACTCGCTCACCTCGTGGGGTACCCCGACCTCGACCTCTGAGATCTCGTCCTCGGGCCGCTTCCTCAGAAGCATCAAAATTCTCCTCTGGACCAAAGTCTTCAGGACCAGGAAAACCATCCCTTCCTCTGGGGGGAGCACGGCCCTCATGCCTCGGCGGGGCTCCTCTTCTGAAACTGTAAAGCGAAAACAGCAGAATGTCCATCTCAGGGAACACCTTGCCACTGAGTTCACGTTTCAAAAAAGCATGTGATATGAGAAAGCATGATATAATGCTGATTGGGAGGAAAACAAAATAAAACTGTATTTTTGAAAGGACACATTGTATAATCCTATTAATACTACCAGAGGCAAAAACAGACCAGAAGGAAGCATACCAGAGGGTGGGGTTACTGTAAGCTTCTTTCAGGCTTTTAGGAATAATAACAACATCAACATTTTTAAAGCGCCTATACCATGCCAAGTCCTTTACAAGTATACTTTGTTTCATTCATTTCATTCTCACAGCCACCATATGAAGCTGGTATTAGCAGCAGCTCCATTGATGAGAACACTGAGGCCCAGATTACTGATGTCATTTATTCAAGGACATAGAGTAAGTGCTGGTGATCTGACCTCAGCCAGTCTTGACCCTCGGCCCAGGTTCTGTATCACTGCCTCACAAATACTTGTCATTATCATCTACATTTGTATGATGAACATTTATGACTTATATAATCAGAAAAATGGGGGCACAGATCATGTCTGCCAACCATACTGGACCTGTTTGTGGGTAGGGGCTCTGCCATCTGCCCCAGCCCACAGCCTCCACCCAGGGGCAGGCCTCCGTGGCCACGAGCTGTACTCATGGCCCTGGCCCACAGCTGACAGGCACACAGGCCAGCATCTGGCTTAGAGGCACCCATCCACTGGCCAGCCGGCAGCCTGGAGCCCTGCTCAGTGAGCAGCTTCCCCTTCTCTCAGGAATTCTGGAGCTAGGAGACTACACTGACTGGGAGCATGGCTGAGGCACGCAGGGTACCAGGAGGCCTGTGCGAAAGAAGAGAAAGTGACCTTCTGGCAGCGCACACTAGAGGCAGCGGCGCCGCCCTCCAGGGCCCCTGTGCATGAGCTGCGTGGCCTCCTCCCAGGCCGAGCCTCTGCTCTTCCTCTGGTTTCCATTCCATTGCCTTTTACCCTAATCTTCTACTTGGAAGATTTTCAAACTTGCAGTAAAGCTGAAAGAACAGTACAATGAACATCCCAGATCCTCCACCCAGATCAATCCCTTCTTAATATTTTGCCACACGTGCTTTATCTTCTCCGTCCAGCTACTCACGAACATGTTTTCTAAACCATTTGAAAATCAGTTGCCAACAGGAGCTTCACCCCTAAATGCTTCAGTACGTTTCTTCTAAGAACAAGGACTTTCTCCTATATAACCACAATACCTTTACACTCTTATACACCAGCCTAGGCTGTGGGTCTGCACGGACAGATGAAAGACAATACAAATCAAGACAGGGTGTCCAGGCATGGTGGCTCACGCCTGTAATCCCAGCACTTGGGGAGGCCGAGGCAGGCAGATCACTTGAGGCCAGGAGTTCGAGACCAGCCTAGCCAACATGGCTAAACACCATCTTTACTAAAAATACAAAACAGCTGGGCGTGTTAGCGCGTGCCTGTGATCCCAGCTATTCGGGAGACTGAAGCACAAGAATCACTTGAACCCAGGAGGCGGAGGCTGCAGTAAGCAGAGATTACGCCACTGCACTCCAGCCTGAGCGACAAAGCAAGACTCCCTCTCAAAAAAAGAAAAAAGAAAAAAAGACAAGGTAAAATGTAACATTTTGCACAAGACGCAGAGATTCAATAAGCCAGTGAACATTATGTAGATGTAAAGCTGTTCTAGTCATAAAAAGCCATGTCAAAGGTAATGCTTGCATATCATTAAGAGAGGGTCTTAAAAACACTGGGAGCCCTTACATCTTTATTTTTAACCTCCCTATCTCCCCTTCCCAAAACAATTGCTTCCTTAGCCCTCACTATGTCATGCTTCCGGGGCTGTCATCAGCCATGCTTTTCTCACCACCCCTCAGGGTGGGCTGGCCAACCATAACTCAACCACCAACCACTATATATATATATATGTCTCGCCCTGTCACCCAGGCTGGAGTGCAGTGGTGCAATCTCAGCTCACTGCTACCTCTGCCTCTTGGGTTCAGGCGATTCTCCTGCCTCAGCCTCCCAAGTAGCTGGGATTTACAGGCACGCACCACCATGCCTGGCTAGTTTTTTGTATCTTTAGTACAGACAGGGTTTCACCATGTTGGCTAAGCTGGTCTCGAACTCCTGACCTCACGACGCCCACCTCGGCCGGCCTCCACAGTGAGCCACTGTGCCCAGCATTAACTATCTATTCACAAGAAGAGTAAGAAATGGAATGAAAGGGCCAGGCACAGTGGCTCACGCCTGTAATCCTAGCACTCTGGGGGCTGAAGAACGTGGATCACTTGAGGTCAGGAGTTCAAGACCAGCCTGGCCAACATGGTGAAACCCCCTCCTACTAAAAATACAAAAATTAGCCAGGCGAGGTGGCGTGCGCCTGTATCCCAGCTCCTCAGGAGGCTGAGGCAGGAGAATCACTTGAACCCGAAAGGTGGAGGCTGCAATGAGCTGAGATCGTGCCACTGTACTCCAGCCTGGTGACAGAACAAGACTCCGTCTCAAGGGAAAAAAAAAAAAAAAACACTAAGTTCCACTGATCCGGGACCATGCCTTACTCTTCTCTTTGCACGTAGAGAGCTACTCAGAGCATTCTGCATAGATAGTACCAGGTGTTCAATAAATGTCTTATTGGACTACACAGAAGAA